TGAATCAGATTGGCTGAAAGCCTTCACTGCCCATCACCACATAAAGCATACGCGGACTGCCATCAACCAGCATAATTTAAAACATATTCATAAAGCGGAGGAGTCGTCACCTGCGCATGCGTCCGATGGCCATAGCGTCCCATTGTTTAGAAATTTTGCATTGTTAGCGTGTGCTGTTATCATCGCTTGGGATTCAATTCCCGCACGTGCGCAGGTGACGACCCTCCCGCTTTAAAATACTTTGTGCCTGTGGTTTATATGAACTTGAAGTAAATGACGATTTTTTTCACTGTACTTAGTTTATAAAACACATTTCTAAATATCCCACTTAGTGTCTCAATACATTTGAACATTTAACTCCATGATTCAATCAATGTCTCGACTCAGATCGCCTATTGTCCAATTTCGCTACTTATTATATTCAGTATCAACTTGATGATATTAAACTAAAAGAAAAATAACGAATGAAACAGACTAAAATCTTTTACTTTCCTATTGTCTATGCAATCAACAATACAACTGGTATCAGAAGCATGACAATAAAGCAGCTCACCTGGATTCCATTCAGTCTGTATGCATCTACGTAGCAGTAGGCACAACTTGAAATTCTATGTCATCACTGATTGGCTGTCCGTGACTTCAAGTGCATTACCACGGGAATACGCACGCGCTAATTGGCTTGTAGGAAAGATTGTTCGTGGAAATTTCACGATCAGAGATGGCATCTCGTTAATGAAGCAGCCTTAAACAAAAACAATGCTAGCCTTGCTTCTCAGATCTTAGCTGGTATTAGAATATTGGTCCATGTGTGACTTGCATTTACGTGACTGCCTAGCACCGGTGATTTCTTAGCACCGGTACAACGGAAATGCAACTGCTATTAAATAGTATCTCATTTGTTTAAGAGTGTGTCCTGTTCCCGGATGGTCGAAGGATATGCATTAGCGTGCCGAATGTCACGGAAAAGAGAGCTTTTATTTAAATTTCATGTCCGAGAAAACTGATAACACGTATTTTTACTGTAAAAACACCATCATATAACATTGACCTTGTGCGCAAAAAACACAACACAAAAAAAAAGGTGAAAACACCCTCTCCACCGTTTAGTTTTTGCCTGGCGATTCAAAGCTCTGCTGGTGAATTTGCGAGCGATGAATCCATCACTGACATGTTTTCCTCGTCTGCCTGCATACATAACAATTGCCCGGAAGCAACTTACAGTGGGGTAATCATGTGATATGAAAGTGTATGGCGTGCACTTCCGGGGAATATTTAGTCTGGTTCCCTGCCCAAGTTTTCACCGCTGAGGGCTCAAAGAAAAACAAGGTCAGGTACGGGCCGACATCTTGGTCAGATTTCTGGCCAAAATGGATGACAGTCACATGATGGTCACATGGTTACTTCGCAACAAACAAAATGGCTGCCTCCACTGTGACATGTACGCCGGTCAAGATAAGTAATTCATCTCAAGCGTGTTTTGTTTGTAGTACAGTGGGGACACGAACAAAAAAAATCCACGAAGGTACCGGGAAACATAACTTGAAGTTGTTGTTGTCGAAATATGGCGAAGTAGAGGTGATTGAGGGTTTGATTTGTAGGAATTGTGAACGCCATTTGTTGACACTAGATCGTCAGGTGAATGAATTTCGAGAGAAATGCCAAACTTCGAGCAGACTAAATTCGAATGTGAAGCGATGTGCGAGATCTCCATTGGTTGCTGAGGAAAAGCTTTAAAACACTCCAATTTGTCAAGTTGTAAGATCACGAATCACTGACAGTGTTGA